GCTGTACGTATGTATACATGTTCTAAACCGTTTGTTTACATGCAAGAAATTTTGCCTGATTTTGGCTAGAGGGGGCGCAACCTCTGCATCGGCTCGGAGCGAATAAATAATTACAATATTCACTACAACGCAACAATTACACGCTAAAAAAACAATACACAAACAAAACCGATTGAAAGACCGTGTTATAAGTACACACCAAGTATTGGTTTGATGTTCGATCACACGCTGGGCTAATGCGTTATTTATAATGCGTCGCGCCACAATCTCATGATTAATTGATCGCAGCTTTTAATAATAAACATTACAACCTCTATAAATCTTAATTACATAACACTCCAAACGAGACAAACTGCTGCTTCTGCTCTTTATCAATTTACTTTCAATTTACATGTGTACTTGCTCAATGTCACCTTCGTTGAATCAAGTACACGCTCGTCATGGGCGTATACGTGAGGCATATATATGTACGCTACTGTCTCTTTATTTTACGTAATTTCACGCGAACGGTATTTTAATTAAGCTCGTCCAAGAGCTTTTATTTCTTCGGCACCGCCCAAGTAAATTAATTTACGAAAAATGATGACAGTAGCCGCTATTAATACATCCACCAAAAAAAAATGATTGACGATCATCTCGAGCGCGTGTAGCCGAAACTCGAAATTGGGCCAGCAAAAAAAAAAAAAAAAAAAAAAAAAAACTCGCGTCGTCGTTTCGGCGCCACGTTTATTTTTCCTTTCTTTCACTCTCTCCGGCATTCCTGTCGACACCAGCTGCAACGAAGGGCCGAAAATCAATTAAGAGAAGTGAAGCGTTTTTTTAAAATCACTTGTGGCTTTGAACGAGTACCCCCATGTATACTGTCGCACACCATCACCGTCGATTGAATATTGTATACTCCGCGTCACACCTCGAATTAAACGCCATCGCAGCAATGCAGCGGGAGGGCGTTTAAAAATATTGCATGACATCACCCCCGAACGAGTCCGTGCTATGTGTGTGTTCACGACTCGCGCGACTTTTTATATTAGGTTATACGCGCATCCAAGATCGAGAGGCGCTTGGAGAATTTTTTTTTTTTTTTGCTTATCGCTCGGTTTTTCGGGGTATAGGCGTGGGTGTGCTGGAAAGCGTCACGCGGGGCTTTTTTCAGTCGAAATTGACGCACGTGGTTTATTTTGGTAAACAAGTTGTTTTTTATAACGACAAAAACTATGTCTGGATGTATTTTTCTCGCCGAATCTGCCTTTACGGCATCTAAAACAGGTGTTTTTTGCAGCTTAAACGAAAATTAGGTCAGCGCATCGACAATATTTTTACACTTGCAAAACAGTATCAGCAAGAAAAATGTATTTTGCCACGAAAATTCTCGTCGCTTTAATTATATATAACCATGTGACATTCCGCCTCTCTTATAACAAATAATCGTTCTTGCCCAATTCAGCAGTGTATGTTATAAGTATAGTCGGGAATATGAAACAGTTTTTTTTTTTTTTTTTATTTTCGCTCTCTGAGAAATTCACGCGCGTACAACTTTCACGAGTGCGGGCGCGGCCAGCATCTAAACGCCGGGAGAAGAAAGTGCCGGTTTGTTTTCGGTTTTTCCCTTCGAGCCGATCGTGCGAAAACGTTGTTCCCACGATTTATGCTCTTTGTGCCTCCCCCCAATTAAAAGTGCGAATTTAACAAACATGTAGGTATCCCAAACGCTGTGCATGGCGTTTATACCAAACTAATCGGCATGTGAAGTGTTAAATTTCAAGTACTTACAAGTAATCTAAGGTGTCTTGTAACCGTCAAGGTATCGTACTTATTATTTTTTTATCTCTTGACACAAGGATGAGAGGGATAAACCGACGTAAAGAGCGTATGAACGGCCGTGGGACGTCGAGAGGAGAGATGTTGCGAGAAAAACGAAATCCTTTGGTATACGCTCGTACTTATATGATGTATATACATATACACTTGAGAGGCATCGAGGAATGAAAATCGTTCCGGTACTTATTACTACAGCGGTACAGCAGGTATCAAGAGACATCAGGAAAATTAAGCTGCTACTGTGTATGTGTATTTACACTAGTCGAGGAGGAATTACGCTAGGGCTATGACTCACGCGTTGACTTAGCGATGTATTTTTCCTGTATCTCTGTACAGGGAGAGACAAGAATTCGCCCGAGGTTTTTTTCACTTGGCCGATGATTGTTGCGCTTACGGGGAAAAACGATTGATTTGAGTTGGTTAAAAAAAAAAATTTGCTGTGGAGAGGAGTGCACATGGTTTTGTGAGAACTATAACTGTTTCTATTGTTAAATTACCTGGTGATTGGGGCAAGGTTTCATTCATTTCAACATGTTCTTAAGTCAAGTGTTGTCGTAGAAAAAAATGTTTCTACTCTCCCCGAAAGTAAACAAACCATGTATTTTTTTTTTTACCTCGAAACCGTGAACGTCCAAAGAAAACAAAAAAAAAACTGCTTTTGTAATGTAGTCGAAACAAAAATAACAACAGCGCAAATAAGTGAGTCATGCGCGCTAAGGACACGAGCATCGTTAAAGTCGCGACGGTTATTTATTGCACAACAATTCATTTGAATGTACGTAAAATTAAAAAAAAAAAATACCATAGTGTCACGGATTTAAGACCTTACCAATGAAAGATACAATCGTTTGCAATTGTGATTCGATTGAGATCGATCATCTCCCGAGAACTATGTATATATACTTGGTTATATTTTTCCTCGAGACCACACACATATTGATCAGTCCTGACTCTATACTGATCGATTGATCGCCGATCTGCTAAATAAACCTGGTTCACACAGATACACACAAGTACCGAGGAAAAGCCTCTCTAATTGTCATACACGTAAAAATAGATATCGCTTCGCAAGCTCCTTCGAAAAAGCTCTCGTCCCCCGGCTAACTCCGCTAATCGAGTTACGACAGTCCGCGTTGATTTTTGTCCTCATCGATCGATGGCCATCATCCCGCTGTATAATCAAATTACCCCCGAAGCATCGATCAGCCCATCACCACAGAGAGACCGGGTTTATCCGCGGGGACTCACTCTTCGATTGCTGGAGAACGGCGATTGTATACTTTGGCGCGTTGGTCGCGAGGGAGAGAGAAAAAAAAAAAAAAAAGTGAAAGACGCTCCGCTGCGAGAGTATTACAATGGAAAAGGCCGTCGACGTGACACGCGCGTTTGTGCTCACAGCTGGCTCGCAGCCGTAGCTATACCTGTTACCGTTAACGCCTTGTGCTGGATTTGCGTGTGTGTGTGTGGACGTTCAGTGCGAGGTCGGTGGTCTTTCACGTGTACGTACATGTATGACGACCTAATGGGGTCTTTAATGAGGGCTGACACCGTTGCGAGAGTTAATGTGGTTGACCCGAAAAAAAAAAGAAGGAGAATACATCGTCATCTCTCTCTTGTTCTGCTGTCTTTTTTTTTTTTTTTTTTGCCTACTTGCAGAATATTAGTCTTTTGGTGCTTTAAAAAACTCTTTTGTTTTTTTTTTGGTCCAAAATTATTTTTGCTTACAATTTTTTTTTTCTTTTCTTCCTATCACTTTGATTGTAGGAAATAGTTTCGAAAAATGGTTTGTTAAATAAATTTATTCATTCGTTATCGGAGAATACGATTATACTGTTTATCATTGAATTTTTTCTATGGTTTCGTCCACTCAAGAGTGGAATATAAAAAAACAATAGCATTGTGCTCTGTGCGTTTTCAGTGTAGCCGCTCAGTTAATTAATGAAAACATTAGCATCGTGTACTTGGACGATAAATATTTTTTTTTTTTGGAGTGCACTGCTATTAAAATAACCCAAGTATTGTTTGTTTGTTTGTTTTTTTTTTTTTTTTTTTTTTTTTTAAGACAACTACCGTCGTTACGTGTTACGTAATGCAGATAACGAAAGAAAAGGAAATACCCTAATAATGATTATTTAATATTTCACATAAGTGGGCCGTTTAAATGTATACATCTGTATACATGACTAGACTATAGTCTCCAATCGTACATCCTAATGAACATACCTTTCAAATGTTCTACGATGCCTCATTAAAATGACATTACAGTAAGCGTTCGAGCGATAACCTGCCGATCTATCTATTATCAATTAAATTTAAGTTAATTTCGAGTACTGCAACGATACTACAATTTTTAAAAAGTGTGACGTTTTTAGCACGAAAACATGTGAAAATACGCGAGATCCCTTTTAACTCGAGGTAGTAAATGCATCGGTGATGTACATAGTGTACACACAGATGAAATCCAGTACTTTACCTACCTCACGTGCGGGTTGCGCAACACACGCGCTGGGGTAGGTATAGATGTATATATACGTATACAGGTGCAGGTGAATGACGAATCGAGAATGCATTATTCATGGGTTGTGAGCATCGGCCGAGATTACATCGGAGTAGAGAAGAATAAAGAGACGAACGAGGAGGAGGAGGAGGAGGGGCATGACGGTGTAGCCGTCGTGACCGCTGCGCTCACGCGGTCGATTTACCCGAAGGACGGGACCGCCGCGACGAGGGGACGCTACGAGCGACTGTTTTGCGTACACATCGGTACGTTCAGAGGCTAATCGAGCTGGCCTCTCTTTCTCCGATAGGAGTCTGCTCTGGCTTTTGAAGCGTTGTTCCTTTTTTTTTTTTTCTTTTTTTTTCCAACAGCGATGTCACTTTGAGAAATGTGGGAACTGGGATGGAAAGTTTGTTTACGAGAACTCCTTGTGGCGATGTATTTTTTTTTCGTTTCTCCCATTGATGAGATCAGATTTATTTCGAGGAAGCCACCGCTGGCGAGTTTTGTGCTCACCTCTCGCTGACCAAGTGGATTTTTTTTTTTTCAAGCCGACGAGTGAAATGATTATTCTGCTTACCTTACGTTCCAAAAAATAATACGAGCCTCAATATACTGAAAACAATTGTCAATGACACTCAAAACATAATAATAATTATGTACATGTATCCTCATGGTGTTGCAGGAAAGACGTTCTGCCAGGCTTGCAAGAAGAAGTGCAGCGGCGAGGTGCTACGAGTCCAGGACAAGTATTTCCACATAGGGTGCTTCAAGTGCGCCCAGTGCAACGCGAGCCTAGCGCAGGGTGGCTTTTTCGCACGTGACAACGCCTACTACTGCACCAAGGTATATGTATATATATGTACATGGCGAAAGCTCATAAATTATCTGTACCTATATATACAACGCACGCACGCGCGTTCGGGGGCGGGAAAGGAGATGTCTGCACGCGATGATGACGCGACGAAAGGGGGCAAGGGTTGTGTTTTATCAATTTCGTTTTTTTTGCGGGAGGGCGTATACTCGCGGGTGTATTTGTCGGCCTTTTTTCTTTTTTTTCTTCAGCGCGGATAAAGGCGCGAGTGTCGCTTGGGAGTCGAGGGGTTGGATGATTACTATTACAGAGACGATGTGTCTTGGCTGTAGGTTTTTTTTTTCTCTTTTCTTTTCAAGAAACGCTTAGTTGCTCATGAAGTATGTGCAATAACGATTGGAGACAAACAAAGTTTTGTTTTTTTTTTTATCCACTTTCAATCGGATCGATTAATTAGTCGTTATACATATTAGAATGTACTATATGTGTGTCGAGTGGCGCGTCTTTTATCGGACGTAAAAACCTGCGGGTGCAGTTGACCAAACGAAGAAATTCTTTGAAAAAAAAAATTTTCTTTTTGTTTTACTATCTTATCGTTTTGAAGACATAGTTGATGAAAAAAAAAAAAATGAAAGAAACGACCTACTTGCGGTTTTTCAAGCCGGTATTTACAGCGTAAATTTAACAACCGTGTGCCTATAAAATACTTGTCCATAAATTCGCTTGTATCGTACTGTATACCGAGTGACCCTCAATTTAAATAAGGCTCACGTATGCTAATACAAATTGAACTGCGAAACGTTTCCTGCTCAGACAAAACGATCCCGGATGCTCGGAACGAAATGGACTCGTATGAAAATTACCGCGTGCGCTCTCGAGAAAAAAAAAATACCACATCTTCCCGACTCGGCTGATAAGTACATAATATACACCGAAATAGGGTTGAAAAAGAAATAAGAAAAAAAATTGCCGCGTATAATCTTTCGGAAAGTCAAAAATATCTCGGCGCGGCGTAACGAGCTATGTGTATATATATAGCTGTATGTATGATGCTTGGCAGGATTACCGGGAAAGATGGGGCACAAAGTGCGCCGGTTGCGGGGAGTACGTCGAGGGAGACGTCGTGACGGCGGGCGAGAGGCACGCCTTCCACCCGAACTGCTTCCACTGCCAGAGATGCCGGCAGCCCCTCCTCGGCCAGGGGACCAAGGTCACCCTCGTACAAGGTACCATATATTATCCCCTATTATCCTGCGACATGTGTGTGTATATATACATGTATGAACCCGATGGAATATGAAAAATACGTGTGTACAGGCCAAGCGCTGTGCCACAAGTGCGTGAGCATACCGGTGAGGGAGGCCTCGACGCCGCTCGGCGGGCCCAGGGGTACGGCTGGTGCTGGGGGCGCGAGCCAGGATCCGGGGGCTTGCGCCGGTTGCGGCCAACAGTTGCGCGAGGGCCAGGCGCTCGTGGCCCTTGACCGCCAGTGGCACGTTTGGTGCTTCAAGTGCCACAGCTGCGACACCGTCCTACACGGCGAGTACATGGGAAAGTGAGTATATTATGGGGTGTATACGTATAAGGTATCGCCGATCTCGACATTGGGTTCATTGGCTGTTGGGGCGGAAAAGCAAACAGTTAATTAAGTAGGATGTAAATAGGGACAAGGTCTCGTACACGCGACGGGGGTAGTAGAAACAGTACCTGATTTTTATAATTTTTTGGTTTTTCTCCCCATGTGGAGTGTCTTTCAAAGTTTTTTTTTTATGATTAAATAGGTGTTGAAGTTTTAGATGGTTAGGTAACATAATTTACGAGTAAAGCTACGGATGTATACGCGCCAAGGGAGCAAGTAAAGAAATCCTTGGAGACGTGTATCATCGCTCCCAAGGTGCTTGTTCGTGCAGAAGGAATTCACTTTTGTTTTATCTCAAAGACAAAAGATGCAATACTAAAACAATATTTTTTCAAGGGATTCGAGCAGATTTAACAAAAATCTACTTTACTGGATAAATTAGCCAAGTTAGTCGGACACGCTCTGTCGATAGTTACATCCTTGATTTTTTAACTAATCAATCGTGGAAATGTACCTACGTCTTGTGTAATATTTTCTTTTATTTTTTCACTTTGATTCAATTGACCAACTTTTTTTTTCCTAACTAAACATTTGAAGATTAATCATACAAGTATCTAATAACATTTTATATGAATGTCGTGTAGGAAAAATAGGCAACTTCTGCGTCATTTGAATTTTGTGTTAGAAAATGAAACTATATTGTTTGTACGAAGTTACACAAATGTTTTGTAATTTCGCACAATACGTTGAAACGTAACTAGAAAAAAAAAAAAAAAAAAAAAACGCACGATCGCCAAATCACAGGGACGGCGTGCCTTACTGCGAGAAGGACTACCAAAAACAGTTTGGCGTAAAGTGCGCCTACTGCAACCGCTACATAAGCGGCAAGGTGCTACAAGCCGGCGACAACCATCACTTCCATCCGACTTGCGCTCGTTGCACCAAATGCGGCGACCCCTTCGGCGACGGCGAGGAAATGTTCCTCCAGGGCGCGGCCATTTGGCACCCGAGATGCGGCCCCGGGCCCACGGGCCAAAATGGCATCGTCAATGGCCACTCGGAGGGACACACGCCCCAACATCGCGCCCCTGCCGGCGACTCTGAGCGCATTTCCAGCAGCGCCTCGGAGATGCAGGTAAGCCTCTCTTCCACTTTTTCATCAATCGAGAGTTGTGGGCTCGGTTGGAGTGACGGGTGTGTTTGCAAGAATAATGCAAATCGCCCTGAAAAGGACGGAAATTTTTTTTTTTTTCGCAGGCTTCGTATTAATTTTATTTTCATAACTATAGAATAATTCACTGCAAAAACAAGAATAAAACACGTTATACATATATTTATATATGCGCTATTTTGTATTATACGTTATATTATGCTTATATATCCCGTAAAGTGCCAAACTGTAGCGACAGCCTCGGTTTTCTCCCCATATAGCCGTATTATACACCACCACGTGCATTATACATAGATGTTCATTTGATTTTTAATATATTTTTTGCTACTCTAGCCGTCGCATGTTGCTATCACGTAAAAAACTACTTTGTTTTTACTTTCTTTCAATCGTTATTTTTATCGTTTTGTAGTTTTTTTTTCTTTTATCATAGCTATACATTTTTAGGTACATAATTATGTTGTATGAACATGTCACACGTCTGAGCACGCTTATATACTTATTAGCAATTATTATTTCTATAGACAATCATTTTACGTTGTATCATATAGAAACATGTAATTATAAGTTTTTTTTCTTTTTTATATTACCTACCAATATGGTCGGTACACGTAAGATTATGTTGTTCTTTCCCCGCTTTGACCCTCACAACTCTGTTTTTTTTGTTTTTTTTTTAAATTTTGTTCTTTATTTTGACGCACGCTCGTTGTGTATAGTTTTCGTTGAGGTCACGCACGCCGAGTCTAAATGGATCCATATGCAGCCCCTACAGCAGCCTAAGTCGCAAGGTACGCTATCGTTGCTTCGTTGTTTTTTTTTTTTTTTCAACATCAAGGAAAACAAATCATCATCAGCCACCACGCACACACCCACACACCCTATTTTCAGCCTCTTTTCACGCTCAGCGCCACACTGATTACTTTATTATTTCTAACAAAAAAAATATGCACAATATACACGACGATTGTATCATACACACTTGATGATGATGAAAAAATCCAAGTCAAACGAAAGGAAGATGTACACCGCAGCCGCGCCTCATCAAGGCATATAATATATAATTATATACATCTCCTCGCCATTGTATATAAATAATATACCCTTTTTTGTTATCTTTCTCCCCCCCCCCCCTTTTGCTTGTCCCAAAACGTAGTATTACCCAGCAAGAACCGGCAGCCCAGGCCTCATTCTACGCGAGTACGGCCGCGGCGGCCACGAGAACGTCTCGCGGATCTACACGTACTCTTACCTCACCGAAACCCCGAGCCAGGGCTACCTGAGGCGCCCGATCCAGCCTTACGACAAGCCACCCACCAGCCCGCACTTTCACCGGCCGAGCTGTGAGTATACACATACACGCCCTGCACTTGCAAGCTCCCAATGAAATATGTACATGTATAATCGTGAAAAATGTCCTTTGCCGGGGGGTGGGGGTGTGCAGCCTCGCGTTCGATAAGAAGCAGCGGTGGCCGCAGCAGCCGCTCGGGCATGCGAGCCCTGGTGGACGCGCTCGCCGAGACGAGGCCCAAGTCACCGGCCGCCGGCACCCAACCGGACAACGAGGAGCCCATCGAGCTCGCCCACTACCCGGACGCCATGAAGCCACCCCCCGGCACCCAACCGCCCATCGAGCGCGACGACTTCCCGGCCCCGCCCTACCCCTACACCGACCCCGAGAGACGCAGGCGATGGTCGGACACCTACAAGGTGCGTATATATATATTATATGTATATACACACATCCCTCTGTGGTTGGAACACTTTGTGAATGGGGTTACCCGCGCAGGGGGTACCGGACTCGGAGGAGGACGAGGACGAGGTTGATCACAAGTCGATCAAGGAGGTCGAGCAAAAGTTGAAGAAGGAGGAGGAGGAGCTGAGTAAGATCGACACGGGGATAGCCAAGGTGTTCCTACAGGAGCGCGAGAAGGACCGGGAGAACATGCGGCACAGGGCTGCGAACGTTGACCCGCGCAACGCCTCGAGAACCCCGTCCGCGAACCGCGAGCCGGCCTACAGGCTCCGCTACGAGAGTCCCATTGGTGCTTGTGCGTATATGCATACATACAATATTTACATTGTCGTGTCTATGCGTGTGCAAGGGGCAAATGGATAAAGTGGGTTTTTGCAGCTCCGTCGAGGAACATGGACCACGCGAGGCCTTGGACCGAGGACGAGGACGGCACCAGTTACAAATCCAGCGTGGGCCCGAACTACAACGGTGAGTCCGCGTAAGCGGGATGTCGTCGTCTAATCGATTCATTGACTTACGGGCGTTGTCATCTCATACATGTCCACACGTTCGCACATACGACACTAACATGATCAATTTTCTTTTTCTTTTTTTTTTTTTCATCATCGCTTTTATTTGGTAGTCCAACGAGTTTTTTTTTTTTTTTTTTTTTACGACAAAATCCTGGTCTAACTTGTAGGTGGAGGAACAAAATAAAGTGTAAAGTTCCTTAGCTCGGTTAAGCGGCGTTTCGTTGTCACTCGGTTGTGCTCATCACCGATTAAAAGTGTACCTTTTGCATGCCTCCAAGCCGGAAGCCTTGGAATTGAGACAACGACAATGATCACCGCAAACATTGAGCACAAGTTTGAAATTAAAAAAAAAAAAAAAAAAATGCATAAAAGTTTTGGTCATTTGGAAGAGTCATTTAAAAAAAAAAAAAAAAAAAATGCATATGTATATATGAATAATTTTGCATGCAATACTAAGTGCATTGGTTCTTCACGAGTTCACGTTTGTTCCGTTGAGGTATAGTTTAATCCGCAGTATATCTTTTTCACTTTCCGTTATTTACTCTATTTTAGAGTAGTTTTTGTTACACCGATCCACTCGTAATGTTGTTGCACCGGAGTATTGAAAGATGATTCATCAACACTTGCTAATACATTTTCAATAACGAGAAGCATGTCGATGTTGCACGATTTTTATTTAGTTTATTTTGACAAGCGTTGGAAACATTTTTTTTTTGTTTTGTTTAATCCTCTGTTTGAAACTGACAGTAATTAAAATTTGTTTGAAAAATAAAAGCTTATTGAAACATTTCAACTGCAAATAACATGAACGTTTGGATTGATAAAGTAACGCTTTGTTGCTAAGAAAAAAAAAATTTTCATTGAAACAAATCAACCCGTGATTTAAGCGGGCAATCTTTGCTTCGAACAGAGCTACGCATCCGATCACCCACACACGCTCACACACAAGCACACATCATCATCTTCATAGTAAAATCCGTGACGAACCATATCGTAAACGCACATATTATACTGTCGTCCTCATTACTGTAGTATTAACTCTTTGTCATGTGTCTATTTATTTATTTTTGTTTTTTTTTTGTTTTCGTTTTGTTTTTTTGTTTATTTTTGGTGTTCCCTTTGTATTTTGTCGTGTTTGCGCTCGTACGGACCCGCAGCCGGTGGCAGGTCGGCGACGCGCTCCCCGGCACCGAGGAATTACCCGCCCCTTGGCTCCCAGCGCGCCTTCACTCTGCCCAACTCCAGTAGGCACTATTACTCGGTGAGTCGTCAAGTACCTTCCTCTGTACCGCCTGTACGCGTCCATCGAGTGACCATTTACGTATATATAATATGTGTACCAACGCAGGTGGCATCCGCATCCACGCGATCGGCGAAACTTTCATACAAGTATAGGTTTATTTCACGAAAAATCGGTACCAAGCAATTGCGGCATGAACTTTCATTCATTGTGCCACCCGCGAGAGGGATGCTGCCTGCGTGACTACGTAACATTAAGATCATATATACCAAAGGCTTATCTATCAAAAAGGCTGTCTGTACTTTACTAACACAATCTTTGCTGTTGCTGGCTGCATCCAACTAAGCCTTCCAAGTTTTTTTTTTTTTTTTTTTTTTTTTTTTTTTTTTTTGCTTACATTATAAGTTATATACCTGTTATCCGTGTGACGCTGGATTTGTTTTCGATGATTTTTGTTTTTGCATCTTGCAAACGCGTCAACCTCACTCAAATAGATACACGTTTTTTTTATTTCTCCTTTCGAAAATGCTGTACTTGTGACAATAGATTTATTTATTTTTGATCCGTACAATTGTAGACGTAGATACCCTCTTGCAAAGTATTACACAGAATAGTTTGTGCCTAAATACATTTATTTGACTCTGGTTGACTGGGCTGCTTCCGACTGGTCGCACTATTATAGGTAAAACAACGGTAGAGCATTTTTCAAACCATCTCTCTGACTGAAAATTAAAAAAAAAAGTGTCTCACGAAAAAAAAAAAAAAAAAAAAAAAAACTGCGAACGTTGTTGGGCAAGTGACCGTATGGGCTGACGACGATACACGTGAGTTGATCAATCAGACCAGACAAATGATGAAATCGTACACGCTGTTGGGGTTGAAAAAAAAAAAAAACAATTAATAAAATCGCACAGTTGTGAGCTCACTGCGACACATCCCGAAGCCGGGGTATGGTCTGGCGCCTCGAGTCACGCCTTCGTCGACCGGTGGTTCTGTATCTGCTCTCCCCGTAAGTCTATCAACGCACAAGCATATTTAAATGCGCCAGCAATTTTTAACATTTCTCCTTTCCTCTTTTTTTTTTTTTTATTTCAATTTCAACATCTTTTTTCTTCCTTTTTCTCTCATTCCACTTTAGACAGTTAACGTTTCAGCGGATTACTTTCAGCTTTGCTCAAAGTCCTCCGCAACGTTTGAAATGTAAATCTCGTAAACACTAACATTCATTAATTGTTCTTACGCTCTTTTCAATCATTACTCTTTTTTACATATAGTACGTAAGCCACTGCTGCAAGTAGATGATGAGCCGTAGACTAATATAATATCTAAATTTCATATACTTATTATATACAGAGACAGCTCGTTTGGAAATAAATTGCAGGAACGAGTATATAATATGTTATATATTATGTACTTGAGGCAACGTCCCTTTGGTTCATTTGTCATGTTGTTATTATTGATTTTTGTCCATACGCAGGGAGACTACTCGTTCAGCGGCATGGGCGACAAGACGCACAGCACTGACTTTTCCTCCGGCAAATCAGATAGTAAGTACTCCCATAATACACACACGTCCCCATCGCGTCGATGTTTGACAAGAGAGAGCTAGTGTCTATACCGTATATATTGTGACGATTTTTTTTGTTACTCTTACTTGGAAACGTCCTTCCTTGCACATAGAGGTACTAGAGGCTTATGGTTTATTGATATATTTACTAAAAAATTACTAAAAAATAAAAAAAAACAATTAATATCTTGTAAATATCGAGATAGTGTGAATACTACTGAAAACTAATACTATATGTAATATTTATGCAACAAAAAAAAAATATTGAAATACATCACGATAAACGTGTATATTGTTGTTTATCTTGTTTCGGTATTTGGCAGAGAAAAAGCAAGTATTATTACTTGGTATCAATTCACGTTATAGATGCGACCGATGCGTTTTTGTTGTCTCTTTTTTTTTCTGAATAATATTTTTTCTCTCTCTCATACTCACCCGTGTTTTTTTCCCCTTTTTTTTCCAATCTAGTATCGACAGGCAGCATCACGGACGTGGACCGACGGGCACTGGTATGTACAACAGCCCCGAACTACTCCCAGCAGCTTAGCATGGTTCGTAGCACGCAACGTCTGTCTCTTTCTCTCTTTTTTTTTGCATCTCTATTTTTTTTACTTTTGTGTACGAGCATACGAATATTGTTACATTACAACGTTTCTTTGGGCACGAAGACAATGGCTTTCGACGCTGTGCATATTTATCGAGCAGAGGGTATATATGATCCGGTGCGACAAGTGCACCTCCCCCTGGGTCTTGTATATATTATACATATCATATTTTTGTACTTTTGTAGGGGATTTCGAACTGTTTTTCCTTTTTCTCTCTTAGTTGTTTTACTCGTGAGTTTTGTTTTTTGCTTTTTCGAGTGAAGTAGAAGTAAATTTTTTAGTCATAATTTTAGTGGATCGATTTTTACTTTCTGTTTAAAGATCAATTGGTCGTTTTTTTAGTTTTTGTTGTAACAGTTTTGTTTTCGTTAGGAGTAAAGTGTTGACTTTTTTTTTTTTTTTTTCTTCTACATAATTGAAGCATGGAATCAATGTGGTGCCAAAAACGTTAGATCAAATTTCAATTTTGAGTATATATCTAGAGACGCTAATCGAGAGAAAAAAAAATTGTATACATAGCCTACCACCGGAAGTTCGACGTCCCCGTAAAGTGCCAACATCCAAAGAGTAAATGACAAATTGTAAATATACGAATGTACACTTGAAGTAAATTACAAAACGCATGCGTGTAAATATCACATTGTTCGCCAAGCATCCGACAAAATATGTGTAATAGTGCAACCACTTGAATCGTCAAACTTTCTGTACTTGAGCACACACCTTCTCACTGACATTGTACGTACACACTTGAAATCTCGCATGCGTCGATTGTGTTCGGATGAAGTAGTATAGTTCCACGGTAACAAGTTGATACAACGAGGCGTTTTGCAGATTTGGCACTGATGAACTGTGTAAACAACGGTGAATAACTTTTGATTTGCCGATGTAACCCTATACGTAATCGTGTATATATATATATAGATTATGAAATGTGACAGTAAAGCATCAACGCGCTGGTTCGTCGTTATAAAAACTATCTCTTTGTGACGAACCAGCATGGCGTTTTTTTTTTTTTTTTTTTTTCTTTCGTGCATATACAACTTTCATACACACATGAATTTCTTTTTCAAATTTCTTTGAATGTTCGTCTACATGTTGTTTCCAAAGAACGTCTATACATACTGTACAAACAGGTATACCCGAAAATATAAAATTACATATTAGATTCCCCTCACAACATGTGATTCATCTAAATAGCACTCGTCGAGGTCCTCGGTGAGCTGGAAAATTGAAGAATGCCACCCGCGAGAGGGATGCTGCCTGCGTGACTANCAAATTTTCTTCCACTTCGTAGCACGTCTATTTTCATTTTGCCGGAAACATACTTGTGTAATGCAACTTGTAAATTATACCATTATTACTTTCTTTTTTATTTAATTTTTTGTGCAAACCAAGGATAGTTCAACGAAATTTTAATTTTTAATTACATTAAAAAAAAAAAAAAAAAAAAACGCAAACGGGCAAAAAAATATTTTATGTGCCTACACAATCGTGTCCGCGGACACTTGAGTTCACTTTTGTTACGTTCTCTCCGCTTGTAACTGCACAAATGCTCGTAAAACATGATTTTTCTGTTGTCTTTGCTTCCGCTAGTCCAACGATAATAAAAAAATAAAACCATAAAATAATTTGTCTTGCTATTAATGTATCCATCCTACAACCATTTCATTACATACAGTATGCACTTTTTTTTAATTACAGTTTTAGTAAATTGAAACGCATTAATTATGTTAACGTTACTGCTGATTAGCTCGTAGCACCAAGAAAACTTTCTATATGATCGCCTCAAACTTTACGGTACATATCACTTTGGATTTTTCTTCATGACACGTGTGTACTTTTAACTACAGATTTTCCAGCCACACCAAGCTCTGAGCGATGCTAATGAGAAGTCCTTCATTCCAAATATTATTTTGAGTAATGATTGAAACCGTTTAAGATTTGAAACAAACGTGTGTAGCACACCTCAGCCAAACTTGTTTGCCCATGGTCTTTTCTACTGTTCGGAGCGTTAAAGCGTACATATTAATAATAGAAGATTTTGAACATTTGCCAGAGGCAGTCCATCCATTGTTTATGAATATTTTATTCTGTGTAACGTCGAACGTAAACTTGAGCACCTCAATTTAATTTTAAAAAAAAGTATGCACCAAAATTCAAGTCTAATAAAACTTTTTATGGTAAAGTTAGCCCTCCACGTCCCAAGTTTTTTTATCACAAAATTTTAAATGAATACATTAAAATTTAACCAAGATGAAGCCTTAAGTATGACATTGCATCACTACTTGAGCTGCTTTTGCACACGAATCCATAGTATTGTAATATTTTCCAGTAATTTTCAAATATTCGTGAATAATTTTAATTTTTTGTTGTAACATGGGTGTACGCATGTGCGTTTAAAAGTTTATTCTATGATAAAACTCATGGTGATAAAATTTAAGTATCCCATACGTTTATGAGAGAAAAATTTTTGATGTATGTACAAGTAGGAGAAAATAACGTGAACTAATTATACCTAGTTGATAGGTTTATTTGATCATGCGAAATGTCAGAGTATATAAATATATTGTATATTTACATTCGTGTATAATCGTTATCAACGATTGATAAAAACTTATTTTAGAGTATACGCGAAGCAAAACCTAAGATATGAGTTTACAATGCTCCCATTTGGCCGCTGTATTAGCAGAAATAAAGAATTGAGTGACTGGATGCACATAACTTGTCTGAATCTGCTAAAAATCTTTTATAAAATGATTAAATATTTACATTATTCGATTTACCGATAAAATTATCCAGATTCTTTTTCTCCATTAAATGTAAATACTGCGTCGCTCAAAATTAACTCTTGAATAAACCATACGTGACGCTCTCACACCAGAGAACACAAACACACATCTCCGTAGGTCACCGTGTGCACTAATTACAAAAAGTTTTTAACTCCACAGCGTCTGCGTAATTGGTATTCATACCAAAACTCCAACAAACCGCGGTATTTACAACGAATGCGTGAAGAGAGAAAAAAAAACCACAGCTCTCGGTGTACAAGGTATACACTGGACGCCCCTCAAAACCTGCTCTCCTGACTGCCGATGAAAATCTCGTTCCTAAATTCCGAACCTTGTCGGCTCGCCTCGCTCCTCCTGCCCAGTTTCCGCTGTATCTCGACCAAAGTCTTTCCCTTGGTCTCGGGAACGACAGACATCACGAACACGATCTCGAGGGCGCAGCAAAAAGCGAAGAACCCAAAGCAAATGTGAGCCCCGAAGGTTTGCTCGACGTTGGTGAAGAACTTGGTCAGCAGGAAGCTCAGGGTGTTGATGCTGAGGACGCAGAGGGCCGAGGCCTTGGACTTGACTCCTGGGGCGAATATCTCGCCCATCACCACCCAAGGCAACGGGCCCCAGCCCAGGCTGTACACGAGGATGTAGACCACGAGGGTGGCCAAGGGTATCCAGGTCACCTCGCTCAGGTCGTACTCCAGCTTCTGCAGGTAGAAGTACACTCCGAGGATACCCTGATTTGGGATACAAACAATATTCAACGTTACTCTCTTTGCTGAATTTATCATGCCGGTTCGGCCTGATCGCGCTCTCGAGTATACAACTTTTTCAAAATAGTGCATCTACACTGTGAAATAGTGAATATATACAACAATGAATATTCCCTGGTAAATAGTGGATTTTACTACGAAGCTGCGAATATTTACCATTTCTATAAAGTTAACGTTTCACTGTTTAAATTAGTTGGTAAAAATATTTAGAATTTAAATTTATACCTACTCGGCGCGAATAACCGATTTTAAATCTTGTTCCCTTTCGAAAGTAGCGTAATTTTAACTATTTCAAATTTAGAGAGCAGTTGTTCGATAAAAATTATTTTGTCCAATGGCGCAAACGGTGAAATAAAGGTTGTCAATGAAACTTGTAAAAGAACTGATGCACGATTTATGGACACATTGAAACCTGTTGCGTAAGTTTTGTGAAACATTTGCCGATACAGCGAACAAATGAATCCTCCTTACCACAGTGACGCCGGCTCCAACGCTTGATACGAGGAGAAGAATCTTCCTGCCCGACCTGTCGACCACAACGGACGTCAACAGTGTGGCCAGCATCTGCACGAGACCAACGATTATTGCGGAAACGGCGGTATTGCTCGCGCCGGCGTTACGGAAAATGTCCTCGGCGTAGAAGAGCACGACGTCTATGCCCATCAGTTCGACGAAGCATATCATGCAGACCATTATGAGGACGGATTTCCGGTCTATCCGGTCCCTCAGAGCTTCCCTCCAGGACGTCTCGTGGCTGGACGCGTTCACGATTTCCTCCTGAAAAATCAACTTGTGAATTGGCAAAAAAAAAAAAAAGGATTTTCAATCGTATCGGATTCATCGCGCGTTGGGATTGGATTTTTTGATTACAAAACACGCGAATAGCCGTGATTAAGGCTTACGTCAGATTAACGTTGTTTTCCTCAATAAACCTCGTATTCGAGTTACCTCTCTCCTCGTGTCTAATGTTACGCGCGTCACATTGACATACACTGCAATCGTATTTTTTTTTTTTTTTTTTGTTCAGTACTAAATTTAAAATATCATCCATACAGTTACATCCTCACCTGAATCTCCTCGATTTCTTTACTCACGTCGTCGAGACTTCGACTTCGCAGTCTGGCTAGGGCCTGTGCAGCCATGAAGTGTTGGCCCTGGCTAACGAGAAAGTACGGAGATTCGGGCATGAAAGCGAAGCACAGGAAGAATATCACGTACAAACTGACGCAGAAAAGCCAAAAGACGGTGTAAGACGCGAAGGGCCCGATAGAGTAGGATAAAAGGAAGCCGATCGTTATGAAGAGTTGCATGAAGGAGCCCAGTGTTCCTCTGATTGACACCTGGTGGAACGAGAACATTTTTCAAGTTTAACTTTGATAAAATATTTCCTCCAATTTAGGTCGGATGAGTGAATTATGTAAATGAAAAAAAAAAAAAAAAAACAGTTTTATCATCTGTGACCGGGAAAAAAAAAAAAAAAAAAAAAAAAAAAAAAAAAAAAAACTATCGATAGAGAACACAAGTATTTTTGTACTAACGAGCAATCATGATTTTTTTTTGTTTTCTCGCTGATCGTGTTCAGAATGACGGTGTCGTCCTGCCTTCGTCGACGACCTACACGGGCGGCCTGGGCTCGGTAGCTGCGGGCCACGGCCACCACGTGAGGCGCTCCCTGCCGGACATGGGCGCGGCCCCGACGGAGCCACCCAAGCTCTACCCCTATCACCTGCTCATCATCACTAACTACAGACTGCCCGCGGATGTGGACCGCTGCAACCTCGAGGTAGGCCCTGATTTTTTGTTTTTTTTTTTCTCTCAAATTTTTTTTAACGATTTATCTTTGCTTGTCACAGCGTCACTTGTCGGATGCCGAGTTCGAGGCCGTGCTTCATTGCACGCGCTCCGAGTTCTACCGGCTGCCCCAGTGGCGCCGCAACGAGATCAAGAGGCGCGCCCGGCTGTTCTAAACAGCCACGGAGACAAAAAAGATTCGAGTCAAGAGGGGACATGGAAATACAAGTGTACGCGGTCGTCGCGTTGGGAAGCCTATACTTTGGCCGTTGAATCTGTTCAATTGGATCCTCGCGTGCGTACGTGACAATTGCGTATTTGTGAAAGGACGTGTCGATCGATGGATTTGTCGAGGATCGCGGATGACTTTTTTTTTTCGTTCCGGTCTAACGTCTGCGCGACGTTATCGTTGCTATTACCCTATCACCATTGTGGTAACGCTGATTTAGAGCGAGCTGTTTCGACGATTCCGCGAACTCGTCAATCCCCATTGCGGTGCGTTCGCAAGCTTTTATTATTATCATCACAACTACTACGCAATGATTTTTGGTGAGCCCGTCAATGCGGAATCTAACTTTTGAATGGATTGAAAGAGTTTGGACATCGACTTTTCGCCTTTTAAAGAGCGATTGATTTATTATTACTATTTTTACTATTATTAGCATTATTATTACTATCATTTTTAATGTTTTACTCTTTTTTTTTTTCTTTTTTTTTCTTAAATTTTTTCGAGAGCTGGGCTTTGAAGTGTGGATTTTAGAATGTCAAGTACGAGAGACGCGTGTGACTGTGTGAAACTTTGCATGACTGTTTTACAAAACAGAATAAACTTTTGTACATAAAAAAAAGATTGCATGCGAGGAAAGAAAATAAGGGAAAAATAAAAGTTAAAAGAGAATAGGGACATGGTTTAGCAAAGTAAATGTTGCAGCTATGATGAAAAAAAAAAAAAAAATCTAAATGTAGTGCANGAAAAAAAAAAAAAAAAAAAAACAGTTTTATCATCTGTGACATGGTAAAAAGTAATAAAAAAAATTCGCGCTTGTATCTCAACGTAGTCAGGCAAAGTTACTCGATAACAACCAAATGAACTTGTTTTTGTCAAATAAAAAATCGTAACTATGTAATAATTATAAGTTACTATACAGATATTAAAAAAATCGTAGGTACCTCTGCAATTTCCCCAGTGTACATTGGTACGGTGGTGAAGCATATTGCTAACCCAAAACCCAAGATCAAACGTCCTGCGTACATCTGATGGATACTCGTGGCAGTGCCCAAAACAATCCATCCGAGAATCAATGGTACGGCGCTTATCAGCAGAGCTCGCTTTCTTCCAGCCCTATATATAGATACGTATATTATACATAAACAAAAATTAAAAAAAAAAAAAAAAAAAACATGACTTTGTGCAACCTGATCGTGTAAGAACTCACAATACGTCTCCAAAGCTGAGAACAATGATTCACGTTGATGAATAAGAAAATTTTACACATCTTAAGTCGCATGATGCGTAACAGCGTCATCCGACCAATCAAAATAAAAGATGAGCATGTAATAACAAAAACAGCATCACGAGGTGTATATGCGAAACGAAAAAACCCGGGGAATCCCCGGTAAAGCGGTTGTGAAAAAAAAAAAAAAAAAATTCAATTACTAGTCACCGTTCCGCGAGGTAAGCGGATACGAGGCTGCCCAGCATTATTCCCAGCGGAGCCAGCGAGCCGATCCACGAGCCCTCCTCCTTCGTTATGGGCCTGCCCAATGGATTGTCGGGCGAAACTGGATTGTTCTCCTGCAGTTTCGGTAGAACGGGACTCGTCCAGCCCAACACGGCGCCGCATGCTATTGTGTTCAAATTCGCTGGAAAATCCAGGGATCGTTAATTAAACAAAAGTAAAAAATTTACTTTATTGATGAGTAAGTGATATCCAAATAATAAATGAGCCACGTACCGGCGGAAACGGCCAAATACTGGAGGTGCTTTGATCCCTTCTCGGGCATTTTAGCTTCCGTTTCTTCCAGTCCTTTGAATTTTTGCACTTCTCAATCAAAAGCAACACTCGAGATCGAGTTGCCGGCGCGAAATGCTTGCTGCAGGCCTTGCAGCTATCGTGTGTGTGAGCAAGTATGCCTCTCTCATGTGCCTTACTCCACTCGCGTCTTGCCTGGGTATATATAGGTATGAGAGTGGGAGTAATGTTTCTCTTTGGTATTATTATTATTCCGGCAAAGATGTACAATGGTGATTTTTTCGCATTTGACGACTGATGGCGCCACTGCGCGGCTGCTTCTCGGGTGAAAACCGGTTGGTTGAAATCGGTAAGGGCGGCATTGAAGACTGATGGTACAATTAAACCATTTCCTTATAGAGAAAACGATCTTTTGTTTATTCGGTATGTATACTATACTGGGACTGTTTTTTCTCAAATAACGGTTTTTATCATACTTTTTGTTTGTTGTAGTAAAAATCATTAAGACGATATTGGGCCGTTCCTATGTATTTTGGATTTTATTTATTGATTCCGTTTAGTTTTTTAAATTACAGCCGATTTAACGAGCAGTAAAAGTATTTTCAAACATTTCAAGTTATTCCAGATAGCTATAAAGGATAAACACTGTAAATTTTTTAATTTGTAAAGTCACTTTCAAGATCACTCTTTTTACCAGCAAAGTAAACTTACTACTAGTCCACGTAAGTAGTTGTCCGCACTGGTTCGAGTTACTGTCGTCACGTAAAATCTATTAATATTTTTCAAGTTATAGAGTAAATAAATTTGATTAGAAAAAGTAAATTGAAAAATCATTCGTAGTTTATTCATCGGCTTTATCAATCTAATATAACAATATAAAATATTTTACACATAAATCATGCGTATAATATATATCATCACGCATCTTATCAGTGCTAGATTTTAACAGTGACAAAATACTAAAATGATTACAAGTTTGTAAACTTATTAATTCTAAAAGTTAAGGCGATACACGCCTGTACATAAATATAAAATTTACAGCGCACTGTATGTATTAATTAATTTAAAAACTAACTATAGAATATCTGCCCGCGATATTTAAATTTTATAGTTACAACTCCAATGCGTTCATTAAAACATTTTACGTGTATACTTTTATTGGCAAATAATGTCCGATTGTATTTGACACATATATTTTAGACCTGCTAAAAATGTTTCCAACAACATTTAGTTGAGCTAGTAGCCTAGCATTGCTTCCGAAAAAATTTATTTGCTGCATGAAGTTACATTATATACCTCCTTGGCAGTTTTATCGCTCGTGAAACATTAATTTGTTCGAGCCAAGTTAAAATTTCAAGTTAATTTTTTGTTTGACTACTATAGTCACTTATACGCTATCTCAATGTTTTATCTCTTGTGTAAACTTTGAGTGGCTTGTTGTTATTGTTTTTTTTAGTCGATTATTGTATGCACAACCTACCATCGCATTGAGGAACTATATGGCTGTTTTTTTTTTTTTTTTTTTTTTTTTTTTTTTTTTTTTTTTTTTTTTTTTTTTTTTTTNTTTTAATTGACCAATAGTCGCGAAGGGGAAGAAAAAAGTATAACCGCGCACAATAAAAAAAAAAATTAAAAAAAAAAAAAAAAAAAAACAAATCAATCACAAATCGTTAAAAGTAAAATTAAAGGGAAATATTTTTTTTATCCCGTTGGAGTCGCAAAGTATAAAAATGTCTACTCGATGTACGTGTACATTTTGCGATTGAATGTTTGTTCGGTATTCAATTTGGACCGGTGAGAGACAAAACCTCGATTCCCTCGTCTCTGCACCGAGAGAAATAAATAATCAAGATTATAGAGAAATTCTAGAGTCAGATGCAAGCTAGTAAAAAAAGAAAAAAAAATTAAATTTATTTTTTTTTTTCAATATTTTTATATAATTTTAAAAAAATTTTTAAAAAAAATATTTTTTTTTTTTTTTTTTTTTTACAAACAAAAGTAAAAGTAAAGTAATACTTTAGTAAATCGACGATCGTCAACATACAGCTTACAACGATTCTTTTATGAAAGTATATAATTAGTTGGCCGGTTAAAAGACTCTTTACCACCTGAAACTGAAAATCGGATAAATGATCTTGCGTAAAAATCCCGCAAACCAATCCAGCACTGGTCCCACGAAGGAGTAACTTATTTTACTGGAAAGATTGTTTATTGTTCTTTGTTTTTTTTCTTCAAACGTAAATCGTACAACGACGCGACACGCGCCATCAAAACGACAAAAGACTGACGATGAGCATGATGCAAAATAGAAAAAAAAACAGAGGAATGATGAACCATCGCGCGCTCTCGCAGCAGCCCCACCAAGCGAGCCATCATTCCTTGCCGGGGGCATCAGTGGCATCCCCGTCGCGGCGCTCGGCGCTCCTCAGCCCACCGAGCTCGTCCTGTATCTGCCGGAGGCTCTTGCCCCTCGTCTCGGGCAGCAGGACAATGACAAAGGCCACGCTGACGATGCAGCACACCGTGAAGATCCAAAAGGCGACGTGCATGCCCCAGGCATCGGCCACGCCGCTGAAGTACTTTGTTATGACGAAGGCCAGTGCCCAGCACACCAGGACGGTGATGCCCGACGCCTTGGCCTTCACCTCCGCGGAGAACATCTCACCCATGATGGCCCAGGGCAAGGGTCCCCATCCTATGCAGTAGAGGCACATGAAGACCACGAGCGAGGTCACCGGCAGCCAGCCCAAATTGCTCACGTCCGAGCCCTCGGCTTTTATGTAGAAGAACAAGCCCAGCGCGGCCTGAAAATAAATTTTTTTTTTTTTTTTATTTTTCCTGAAATTATATAACCACGTGTACCGTTACCTATGAATTTACAACGGTTTTTAATTTATTTTCATTCAAAGCATAAAGTACATTTTTAGGAAAAAGTACGAAAAATGCATGCATGAATTTTGAAGCGTACGTTATTTAAAACGATCTCAGCCGTTGCGATTGATTATTCGCGGGGAGAACTTGCGAAACGATTTCAGTGACGCTTTTTGACCCTGGGGCGTGTATAGGTATGTATAATTCAGGTTGGCGGTCTTTTGTTTGACCCGCGATTGAAAATCGGTAACAAATGAATTCGTGGGGAAAAAAAAAAAAAAAAAACAGTGAGCCAAACATCGGGTATATGTTTGACATTGCGCCGCTTTGTGTGGGTTCGGATAACTCCCGAGTTTCCCGCTTCCTATGGGCGAAATCGTTTGTCTCACCTATTGTCCGATTGAAAAACAAGAGAAAGAAACACTCACGGTGCCGATGGCCGTGCCAACACCGGAGGCCAAGAGCAGAGTCCGGCGGCCCATGCGATCGACAACTACGGGCGTGACCGCCGAGGCGCCGACCTGGACGACACCGATGATGATGGTCGAGATGGCCGGGGGCAGGGAGGAGCCGGTGTCCTTGAATATAGTCTGGGCGTAGAAGAGCACGACGTTTATGCCGGTGAGCTGCTGGAAACTCACCGCCGCGCAGGTGTACAGCAAAGCCTTGAAGTTCGCCTTGACCGTGAACAGGTCGCTCAGCTTGACTTCCGTGCTGTAGGCTTGGTCGACTGCCACCTATATATGTGGACCACAACGCCGGTCGACGGGTATACAGGTTAGTGCGACTATATTATACTGCTTCTACAAATTACGCGTGGGGTCCACCTGAGACTCATCGCTTCGTTGTCCAAATATATTAAATCTTCTCTATTTTGAGGCTGTATAGAAGCTACTTTTAATTTTTAATTACATTAAAAAAAAAAAAACTCGTACTGAACTGGGGGGAGGAGAACCATGCATTGTTGATCAACGGTCCGGCGTATTTTATCAACGACGTGTAAAAAATAAGTCAAAAAACTTTATTTCTCCGAATTCTGTAATACCGGTCACGGAATTTGTTTTTCCCGCGCTCTCCTATTGGTTGTCTCTCTCCACACAAGGCGACTCTCTCAGGATCTCTCGGGAGTCTCGGGGGACATTTTTGTAGGTAAGTTGCTGGCGCTTTCTCCGCATCTCACGATGTTGAAGACTGATTTAGAGATGGACATTTTTAGGCCACGTAACATATAGGACGAATAAAAATTAAGATCAGCAGCTTAAACCTACTACTTTTTTACCACGGGTATTAAGTACATTGTGGGTGCACTCTGTTTGCAACGTTTGCTCTTACTTTGTTTTAATATTTAAAAACAATTAAGACAAAAGTTCTGCAGATTCGTATGGTTATAACACAAAAAAATTAAATATTCACACAGCGTTACTATCTCAGGCCCAAAATGTACATGTTTACAATAGCAGACATCAAACAGTCGGTGTTGTTACGTTTTGTATTATGATTCATAAGTATTTTATTTTAACAAAAATAGAAAAACTTATTTGATCCAAGAATGAATATTGTGGTGCTGGTCTGTTAACTGATATTAAGCAAAGCTTACTGTCCAGTTCTTAGAATTAGTTAAAAGTACATACGTATGTATAAGCATTTCTTTATATATCAAAATCCACTTCCAAGAAGAGAATTGTTAAAAATCATATAAAAAAACACCCGCTACTGTTTATTCCCAGGCTTAAACTTCAGAAATACAATAGAACCTCTTAACCACTAGAAATTAAGCTAGATAATTTCTTTACATTAGAGCTATAATATTCAATTCAATAGTTGCCAACAATATTGGATTTTAATTGATTCATCTATATGTATCTGTCATCCTCGAAAAAGAAAAAATCTTATCCTATAGGCAGAATTGCATTCCTAAGAAATTTAGCACATAAAAAAAAGTTTTTTTTAGGGCTGCAGCCATTTTTTAGGTTTTTTGCAAATTTCTCAATACTATGACTGCACAAACTAAAACATAGGTCAATAGAATCCTCTCAAATAAGGATGAATCATTTGAGCCTTTGAACGTTACGCTATGTTAATATTTTATAATTTTGTGTGCTAACCTCACAAGTCTGCATTAATAAGTCATTTAATTTTTTTATA